CCCACTGCATCCCAGAGGAAAACCAGAGCCTTGCACATCATCCCTGCAGCTTTGGAGGAAAACTGCACCTTGTGCAGGAGCCCTGCTCCAGCAGAACCACATCTGGCACTGCAGGAGGATGGGACTGCACCAAGCCCTGAGTGACAGGGACACAGCTGGATTCTCACCCTGGCACTGCTTTTCTTTTTTGTATTACTGTATTTTTATTTTCATTTTCCTAGTAAAGAACTGTTATTCCTATTCCCACAGCTTTGCCTCAGCTAGGATGTTGCTCAGAAAATCCCACAGACAGCTCAGAAAATCCCACAGGCAGCTCCTGATCTGCTCCTCCTGGCAGGTGAGTCCCACAATGTCCCCAAAGCCAGAGGAGATTTCTGCCTTTCCCAAAGAAGAGTCTCCACAGCTCCTCATCAATTGATTGAAACCAATTTTCCTGCAAAATCATTTCCCTTTAGTCAAGGCATTCCTGGATTCCTGGCACATGCTGATAAATCTGTGCTTAATGGGCAACTTCCATTTTTAATTGTTGTCACATTGTTATCTGTGAAATGCAATTCTTTAATATTTAAAAGAATTTTAATTGAATTTTGAGTGATTGGTTTGTTGGTTTGGGGTTGTTTTTTTTGCTGCTGTCACAATACCAAGACTGTTCACCCCTTTCCCACTCATGTTTAGGTAATTTATGATCAAACCAAACACAGGCACTGATTTTAGAATTAATATCCTTTGGTCCAATTTATCACTTGTAAAGGACTCCATTAAAACAAACAACATCCAAGAAGCACAACATGCTAAGATAGATCCAAAAATCACATATGAAAGAAAAATGAAGCAAGGTTTAAACCTCAAGGATTAATTAAGCAAGGATTAGACCATTCCATTTCCTTTTAAATATAAATTGTTCCCATTTTGTTTGTTCTGTGTCTGACTCTGCAGAATTTCTCCCCTTCCATCCTCCTTGTCTCCTTGGGAGAGTCATCTTCAAATAAACCTTAAAATAAGGCCTGACTTTTAATTTTTCCTATCATTATTAATAACTCCAATTTAAACAAGCTATTTGTTGCTTAAATTCAATCCCATCTAAATTTTTGATTTAATCCCAGGTGATCAACTTTCATAAAACCCCATGAATGTCTCTGTCACAATTTGTGACACCTTGCAGGAAATTGAGCATTTTTGGTCAGCTTCCAGGAGAACCCACACCAGTGGAATTAGCACATAAATATATTCTATTTTTGGAATATTTTGTATTTTTTGAATATATTATATTTTTTGACTATTTTATGAAAAAAATGAATGCTATTAAAAGTTTGCAACTACAGACTGATTTCCAATTTCTCTCTGCAGAACCCTGACACTGCTGGTGCAGAAATACAACAAAAAAATCACAGTTTTAACAAAGACTAAACAGTAAAGCATGAAACCACAAACCACAGGGACAAGCAGGAGCACACAGACAGCAGATAACAATTCTGGGTGGCAGTAGAAAATCAAGTCTCTTTTATTCAAGATTTCCATTTGAACTCCTGATTCCAGCACATTTGCTGACCTCATCCTGCACTTCTTGGATGCAAAAGCACAGAAATTGATAATTCAAAACCAGAAATTGATAATTTCATTTTTGTCATCATAGATTCAGAATCAGGGCTCAAATTTCCTCCTGAAGAGACTCTGAAGGTTAAATTGATTCAAACCTTGAGTTTGAAAGCTGAGCAGCATTTTCTTAAAAATAAATTAAAATTAAATAAAATCCTCAACACACAGATCTGAGAATGCTCCCCAAACTGACATTCTCAATCATTTCAGCTCATTTTTTTTTCCCCATGATCAGGTTAGAAAATAATTAACTACCCATTCAGAAAGGCTTAATGAGTCCTGTGTTACCTTCAGCTGATTATTGAAAATATCAATTTCCTGCAGTTTAGATCTGGTTTCTTTCTCCACCTCATCCAACTGCTCCCGGAGCTGCTGCCGTGCCAGTTCCTTGGCTTCCACAGCTCTTTTGATGGTGAGAAGGGAATCCCCTGGTTTTGAACACATTGTTAAATCACTTTTTTTTTTCATTCATGGAACAGTTTAGAAAAGAACATTATCCCCATTTTCACCTTGCAGCACAGCCAGAGCAGTGGCAGGGGATGTGCTGGCCCAGGCCAGGCTCTCCCCACTGTACTCACTGTGCAAACTGTTCTGCTGCACTTGCTTGAGCTGATCATTGAGCAGCTGCTTCTCTGGGATCAGCCTGCCCAGCAGCTGCTGGGACTCCTGCAGCAAAGAAAACAAGAGCACAACCAGGGGTAACTCCAGCCACGACATTTCTGCATTTCTGCTTTAGTTTTTTTTTCCTCAGTGAATGATGTGTTATTGATTATTTCCCTCTTTGTACTGTATGTGTTGCTCTGTGTGTGTGATACCCCACAGATCCCAGACATTCTGTGCCACTCCACAAGAGTGGAAATATCAAATTGATCTGATTGTCATTGAATATTGAACTTGGCTTAGAACTACCCAAAACTGAGGGCACAGAGACAAATTTAAGGAAATGTTCCAACAAGCACTTATTAAATGTTTAATTCTGATTTTAATAAATGAAACACAGAATCCCCAAATCCCCGAGGCTGGCAAAGCCCTCCCAGCCCCTGCAGTCCCAGCTGTGCCCCATGGCCACCTTGGCACCCTGAGTGCCACCTCCAGGTGCCACCTGCAGGGATGGGCACTCCAAAGCTCCCTGGGCAGCCCCTGCCAAGGCCTGAGCTCCCTTTCCATGGGGAAATTCCTGCTGCTGTCCAAGCTGAGCCTGCCCTGGCCCAGCCTGAGGCCGTTCCCTCTCCTGGGAGCAGATCCTGATCCCCCCCCAGCTGCACCCTCCACTAATAGTTCATTAATAATATTAATAACAGTGTTAATGATCAGTAACTTAGGTCAGGAATAGAAAGACAAATATTTAAAGGAAGAGAAAATAAAGACTTTCCTTTCTAAGGAATATATTCTGGCCAAAAGCCATGAAACACAAACCCTGTGGGATGACAATCCCTGAGTCCACTCAGAGCTCTTGGAGGAGGATTCTGATCTCTCCCAAACTCAGCACGTGCTGGGAAGTTTGTGACCTGCTGATTTACAGGAGTCCCTGCAGAAGATCCTCTCCCTTTGGAGGATCCTATAAATGTATTATTTCCTGTACAACATTCCAGAGCATGAAGTGTCACCTCACACACTTCTCTGAAGCCTGCACCTCCCAGCTCAAGTTGTCAGAACAGCTTCAGCAGCACGAGGTGAAAGAGCAGCTGAGTATCAACATCCCCTCCTTCCTACAAGCCCTGCAACTCCTCTGGGCAGTTCTCTGGAGTTCTGCAGGCTTTTGGGGAATCAAGCAGCTGACAGCTTCCATTTGTCATGGAGGATTGCAAACGACATCACTCATGCTAAGAATAAATGTCCCCTGATCCCTGAACAGCACAGTGAGCCCCAGGGCTGTCGTGGGCTCCCCTGGATCCCTGGCAGTGCCCAAGGCCAGGTTGGACA